TGCGTCACAAAGCGGTCGTTTGACAGAAAAATGGGGCAAAAGTCAAAATTATCGCAGGTAACTTGATATCAGCGAGGACCGATACTAAAAAATTATCTACACTTTATTCGATGAAGTTTCACTGAGTTTTAAGGCAATTTCTATTTGATCCTATCTCAATAAAATGTCACTTATTCGTTATTAAAAATCTGCAGCTTAAAAATTTTCACGAATTAAGTTGAAGAGAAAATAAGTATACTAAATTCCAAGTACATTTTAATAGAATGCTTTTATATGATCGCACAGATATTAGAAGGTAAAATTATAGATTAATAGAGATTAATTCTTCAAAAATGTATGACGCTATTACTGATTAAATAATTTAAATATCGTAGCTTTTAAATTTACGAAATAAAAACTTTTATTAGTTGCATTATATTCTCTGTTTTTTTGAATTGTATATAACGGATTAAATTTTTCTGAATATATGCACTAGAGCCGAGCAAATAACAAACTAAATGTACGAGAGATAATAAAAATTTACATTAACATTAAATTAAATATATAATAGCTTAGTTCAATTGTAACATTGCAATTTTAAACACGTTGCTCTACGAAAGATATATTCACGATACGACGACACAAAATTTCTGGAACCTTAATCCGTCTTGCGTGTTTGTCATTCTCAGCAAGAAATAATCATCGACGATTAAGTTGAATTCCCGAACGCTCTCTGTTATAATTTAAATTGTAAATCCAGAGTTAATACACTGGAATTAGTAGTCGGATGCGAAAGCCGTTCTGAATCGAAAGACCTTTACTTCTTTCAATCTTCGTTACAAGCCGAAAGCGACATCGGCAAACGGGCACGGAGAAAGAGGATCAACGCGGTTCCAGTAGGATGATTGGCTGAGAAAAAAGAGGATCTAACGAGAAAACGAGCAGCAGCGGTGGCGGCAATGGGTAAGAGCGGCAGGCAGATTTCAATTACAAACAGGAACGTATCGCAAAGTGGTGGACACTGGGCATAGTATTAAAAGCCGGGCGGACTTGGCTTTTCGGCGCGAACTACCGAAGAGAGAGAGAGAGAGAGAAAGAGAGAGAGAGGGAGAGAGAAGGAGAAAGCCGGGGCGAGAGGACGAGCGCTCTCTCGCATCACCCGCACTGGTCCAGCATTCATCCGTTTCCATTGAGCCCCGACCTGGCTGCCGTGCAGCCCTCGCACAATGCCGAGCTCTCACTATTGCGCGCGCGAGAGACCTATTATTTCATCAGCTCGTCCCTTTTCTTCGATCCGCGTATCCGATATATCCCCCTCCCTCCCTCCCCTTCCCTCCCGATATTCCGACCGATCCCTTGTTTCCCCTGAGCTCCGTGCGCTTCCCTCCCCCCCCCTCCCCCTTCTCCCGTCCGACCGTCGATCTTTTCCTCTTTTCGCGTTGCCTACGTCTCGCCTACGTCTCTCGTATTTCGCGTTATTAAGGATCATCCTGAACCGCCGACGTTGCCGTCGCGATGCGCTCGAGCAAGCTCGAATCGATTTTCAACTCGTGCGCTTGAGAGAGCGGTCTTCCTCCTCCGTCGACCGAGGAAGACCTTGAGGACACACCTGCACCTGCACCTGCATCTCGCTCGAAATAAGAGATCGGCTCCTATTCTTGGTACGCGCGGTTTCGTTCACATTCCAGGTTAAAAGTGAAATGGAATTAAATTTTATCGATACTCACACTCTATAGTTAAGGAAGCAATCAGCTATAAAAATACAGTTATGTGATCTAATATCCCTTTTCAGTAGTATTTCCTACCTTTTTCTCTTTTCTCTTCCTGAATATCTTGTTTTGTAATGTATTAAAATATTCGTACTCGCGCCGTCTCTCGAGAAAAAAACTATCAAAATAAAAGTACCTTGACATCTTATTTAAAGTTATAAATTCCGTGAAAATTCAAAATTATTATATATTATTATATATTATTATATATATTCTAATTTTTAATACTCGTAATACTTTCAATAATGTCCCTGTGTCTTTCCCACCTACATAATTTATTTTTGTTCCTATTATATATACGTTATCTATTACCAATTAATTAATTTCCTTTATCTCTTGTTCCCAGGTCAATCAATACCGGCACTGACGTTGCAAGTTTTAGGTAAATTTTCTATGTATTACAAAGTAAGCAAACCTATTGTATTCTCTTTCTGTTTAGTCCTATCTCTCAACTTCCTCGTCTCTCTTATGTACACATGCACGCTAACAGGAAGCTGTGATAGCTCTTGACAAGTACGTGACATTTGCAGCCGTCCTGTTACCGAGTATGTAATTATCGCATAGCGCGTAGGCAGCTAGTCGCATTCCGAAAAATCGCGATATATTAAGAGAAATGCATTTCGATTGTATTGGGACGTGTGGAATGAAATGTATCTATTCGACGTGCCGCCATGCGGGAGAAAATAAATTTGAGCTTCAATTTCACGAGCAAACTATAATAAAACGATAATGATATGAACCTAGTCGTATAATAAAGTGTGCAAAAGCAGCAGTAATTCTAATGCATAAAAATCGCCGAGTTGAATTCTATTCTACTAAAATATGTAATTTAATATATAATTTAAAATAATGAATAATGCATTTCTCATGTACCGTGATAAATATTACTAATCGATGATTTGCAAGTTAGAGGAAATTGTAATATTTTAGGATATCTTGTTACGCGCGTTTCAAGAAAAATTTATCATGCTTTTCGATAGCGCCGATACGTGTGACACAGAATTTGTTGAATATACTTTCAAGTTAGACTTTATAAAAACAAATAAATATTCAGATATATACGTGGTGTGTATATTTCTAAACGAATATCAAATTCATTCGCTAATATTGAAGTCAGATATCTTCAAGCGTTCCAAAAACGCTTTCAATAAATAAATCTGAAATATTCGATAATTCTGTGGTTCTGTCCGCGTGTAGGTCGTATTAAAAAAAAAAAATAGGTACGATCTCCCTGTTAGGCTACCGGGCCGGCTAATCCAGCAATAACGACGCGATAGCAGACGATCTCACATCCAACCGACTCTTTCCGCATTAGAGAACTTAATTGCACCGCGAATAGATCGAGAGAAATGCTGGACGTGAACTCGTTCTGCGGTACTCGTGCGGAATCGCGTATTGTCTCATCTCCCGACCAACCCTTCAAGCTCGCTTCGTCGCCCACACGCCTCGTTGGTGCGGCACCCCGTACCACCCGCCCCACGTGCACACCGTCCACGGTAACGAGCCATCTCGCCATCACCATCACCGAGCAGCACCAGCACCAGCACCAGCACCAGCATCAGCACCAGCAATGACCGGCTTTACCTCTCACGCGCGCGACAGTAACGCCGTTGTGTGAAAGCCGCTCCTGATCATTCGCGCGTGCTATATTATTTTTACCTCGGCAACTAGAGCGGTGAAACACGTAGCGTTATCAAACAACGGCTTTGTCTAACTTTAATTGAAAATATTGGAATAAATTTTCCAATAGACGTCGCCGATGAAACCACCGCCACCGTCGCCGCCGTCACCGCCGCCACCAAGCGCATGGCCACCCACCCGACGCAGAATGAATGGATGACTGAATCGAGCGTGGGGAGAAGAGGGAATGTACCGGAGAAGAGAATGGAGAATCCATCGGCACATACCGAGAGAGAGATGGGTAGGTAAATAGCCGTTTTGCGAGTTTATGACGCGGAATTGTTGTTCAAAAACGGGACCGCGTGGCCAGTCAACCGTTTTCGGCTTCGATTGATGTTGTACCGATGTCCGCACCTCTTCCTTCATCCGGATGCGGCAGGTAGCTCATGACAGAATCACCGGTGCCATAAATGGAACGTATACGTACGCTCGCAAACATCGGTGGCGATAACCACCGCCGTCGCGTACTAATGTGCGCGCGTGTCGGGATAAACGATGAAATCGGTCAAACCGCGAGCGAGCGACGCTGTCGCTCGCTGACGATTAATACACGTCCCCACGTATGTCGCCAAGATCTGTTCGTTATCCGGGAAAGGTTGCAGCTATTTTTCACGGCTGGACCCTCGGCTAGACGGGCAGCCGCCAACGTCCGTTGGTGATCTAGCCTGCGGTAATCTAGTTGATGATAAGCGGCTCTTGTGCAAAACACGTCAAACCATGGTAACTTGAATAATTTATATTGCAGGAAAACACGTAAAAGTTATAATAATTTCAAAGGAAATATTATATAATATCTACGATAAACATTAATCTTTTATTAAAATTGACTATGAAATAAAATTCAATTCAGCATAGGGTGCAAAAAATTTTTAGATTAAAAGTCGTGAGAAAAAATTTTTTTTCTGATTGAAAACTAAAATGATCAGTGAGAAGCCGAAGATAATCATTTATTATCAATGTAACAACGGCATAAGTGAGAGGTTCAACGCAACGACGAGCTTGCAAAGAATAAAAGTATTTCAAAAAGTTAAAAGTCAATTTTCTATCAATTATAAAAGCGATATGATAAATGAAGAGATAAAATCAATCACTAATCATCGACTATTACAATTCGAGGCAGGTGAGAGGTGATTCAGGGGCGGACAGGTCGCAACAGGCGACAGACTGGAGGGCAGAGACCGGAAGCGAGTTCACCGCTCATCTGCGTCAGGATGGAGCCATGCCCTCAGCCCTGACTTCTGCACTTCCCCCGATTCTCCCCTTCGATTCTCTCCCGTCTGTCTCTCCTTCCCTTCCGAGCCCTCATCCCTCATCTGCGTGCCCCTTGCCGTTAACCAGTCCCGCTGGATGCCTGGGGCCCACCGACGATCTCCTCTTCCCGGAGGCGGGACCAAGCAGAACCGGAAGTGCCCGGATATGAGTTTCCGGCACGGACAATTTGCAACGCGAAATTGAATGATCGACTCCGATAACCGTCCCAGGGCTGTTCCTACCTAGCAGCCGACTGCGCGGTATTCGAGGACGGCGCCATCACCGTTATGTCGAAAACGAATCGTCGGGCCGCCTCGCCTGCGATTACTGCGATTCGTTATCGTCATTACCGGCACCGACGGTGCACGCCGGATCGTTCTGGGGGGAAGGACGAAAGAGAGCGTGTGAGTGATTGTTGCAGCCGCGGTTTGCGGGCGCGAGCGCGAAGGTCCTCCTCTTTCGACCTGGACCAGATCAAATGGTAATAATAGCAAATATGATGAGATAAGTTAAGGATAAATAATAGTCAATCAATAGCGATAAACAATTAATTATCAATAGTGCTAATCATAATAGTTAATTCCAGATTCCCACATATTTCAAATTATCACGGGTCTCCCACATTGGGATAGTGGCTACCCCACGTCTAACATTTCATTATAGATTTTAAAAAAATCAACTGTTTTTAACACATTTTTTTCATCGAAACCTCAGGCATCAAGGAATTTTCCTATGCATAGAAAAATACTAAAAAGTAATAAAATATTTACGTGTAAAAAGAGGTCACACTCGAAAATAGTAGATTTGAGAATTCACTTAGAGTAATAAATTTTCGGAGTGGTAATCTAGGATTAATAATTCAGTACAGAAACTGATCTAGAGCATACCAATAATTTTATCTCAGGGATTTCGACTCATCGAATCAGGTAATTCCCGCTAAATCCCATCTATTCTTGTCAATATTTATATCCGCCATCAAATCAGCACGATTTTATTAACATTGTTGCTACTCGTATTTAACGGAATTATAGCAATAACAATCAACATATGTTACGCCTTGCAAACCGGTCACGCTTCAGGCAAAGTCAACTTGCGTGTCATCGGTGGCGCTTCCAGCATGATACAATCGATAATGGCGATTAATAATACGGATATCATGATTATAATTAGTAGAATCATACGGGCGGCGAAACGGGAGAGGACTCGTCGTTTAGTGCGACAATAAATTTTCGCTGTTATCCGCGTCGGCGATTTGATCGACGTAAATTTCGTCGCAATTAAACGCGCTGCGCGAAACCGCATTTTGACCGAGGTGTCTCTCTATATATTCAACAATCGCTGCATCGCGTTTTGTAATATTTCAGCTCGAGAGAGACCAGGGCGAAACGCCAATGCAAACGGTAATAGCTTACTTCGATACACGTCCACCCTATGTAACACTTTTCAACGCCCACCATTTCCACGTGATTAAAGTCACTTGCATTCACAAGTGATTGATTTTTTTCGCAAACCAACTAAAGAAGTTAGAGAGACATTAACATAAAATATTCCTCCTCTATAGTATAGTAATCTTCGTCCTTCACACACATCTTCTGCAAATTGCTAAACTTTGTATAATCATCGTAATCAATGTCTCTTGATTTCTAACGATCTTATCATATCTTTTCAACACGATGGAAGAACGTTTCTCGACAGCGAAATTTTTCGGGGTCCCATCCCAGCCTGCGTTTCCGACGCGAGCAAATGGATAAAAGAAAACTTATCTCCGTATCTCTTTCTCTGTCTCTCTTTCACAAAGGGACATTCGCGCAGCGGGCTTTTGTGCGATTCGTATCGTCAGTGGTAGTTGGTAGCTGCTTGCAGCTTGCAACGCCATTACCGCCTTGCCTTGCCGGCGACAGAACTGAACTCGAGTGGCACATTACGGCTGTTTCTGTCGACTAACGCACCGATAGCGTCACCAGTTTCCACGATTCGTTCAACATAATTCAAACAAAAGTTCCCGAAGTTACGGCCGTTGTGTACTGCAGTCGGCATCATATGTACCTACGTCGAATCAATGCGCCGGGGAATTACAATCCAATGAGGTGAAGGTAAAAGGAAGAGACTGCGGTCGCCACTACGACAAAGATGCTGCTTCAAGTGGTACTTTAACGTTATCAAAGTTATGTAAGCCTCATCTGTTCGTTTAATTATATTTTACAAAGAGAGACCTTTATCGTTTCGATCTTCGATAACAAGGAGAATAAATCTAGATAAAGTTACAGGTATAAAATCACGCAACAAATATTAGATTATCTTGAAAACTTATTATTATTATTATATTATATTTCTATTACGTACAAGATTATCCATCAGACAGATTATCCATCTTTGCGCGTTAGTAAAAAATCAATTATAAATACTGATATGTTTGTCGATATCGGAGTACGCGTTCTTATTTTTCAGATCAAGAATTTAATTTCCTTTTCTAGCTGCATGTTAAATCGGTAACAAACTGTTTTCGATCTATTTGAACGTGTTCAGTGCGAAACAAACGCAGAGAGAGAGAGAGAGAGAGAGAGAGAGAGAGAGAGAGAGAGAGAGAGGAGGAGGAGGAGAGAGAGTA